AATGATCGAAATGCATCAATCATTCAATTTTCGGGCCCTAGTTCGTTTTCGTTTGGTAGTACGACGGGGCAATGTAACATCACCTAGGGTCGTGGCCGAACGCGACTGGGGTAATGACAGCTTCCTTGGACACTTCTCCGTCGTTTGTTAGTTTTGCTGGGTGGCTCAGAATCACTTTGCACAACCAATTTTCGAGGTGAAGCTTCTTCAGGATTAATTGCCTGCCTCCGTTTTCGTTTCCTGGTTTCACTGAGTGATTTTGGATTTCCCTGTTTAACTGGGGCCCGAGACGCAGATTTATCAGGCGGCGCGATGTGCAAACCACAACGGATTCGGTAGGCAGCTATCATTTCTTGACATTGTGGAATTTCGTCTGCTCTGTACATAAGATCCGACTCAGGGCCGTATCCACGAAGACGCAACGATACTTGCAGTTGTACGGGGTTTTCGGCCCCCTACCACTTTTTTTATGGCTTACCACTTGGTCAACGATGTTGGACTTTTTCGGTTGAGCTTCATCGTGATGGTCTAGCTCGGGCAACGGAATCTGGCGTCCCAAGAAAAACTCACAAAGTTTATCAAAGACTGGCGCAGGTGGCGTTTTCCTCGCATATTACCGTTTAATATGGGCTAAATGGACCGAAACTTCACGAGTTTCATTCTGGCGCCTCACTCTATATACCACAGGTGATCATTGGGAGCAGATGACGTAAGGCCCACGCCACGGTAATAACAGCTTCGGATTTGGTCCATCCGAATCCTGGTAGGGTCGGTACACAAGTACTAAATCGCCAGGTTTAAACACAGGGATAGGATGTAGTTTAGCATCCTTGGCAGCTTGTTTTTGTGAGCGTTCCGACAAGTTACGGCGCGCTAGTTCAAACACAAACAACTGTAGATTTTCCCGTGTCGTTTTAGAAAATTCTTCCGGTATTTGCTGTTGTTCCTTCACGAGGAATACCGAGAATAATGTCAACTGGTAGACGTGGCTTCCGACCAAACATAAGAAAAAACGGCGTTTCGTGCATGGTGGAGCTAAAAGCTGTCTTGTAGGCCAGTTGAACAAAAGGCAGCAGTGATGCCCAGTTACCGCGGTTCATGGAACTATGCAATGCAAGCATTGCATGCATGGTTACATGTACTCGTTCAAACGGAATTACCCTGAGGACGATATGGGGTCGTGCGGGTCTTTTTATAGTTCAGAATCCGCTGTAGTTGCTGGACTACACTGTTTTCAAACTCAGGACCTTGGTCGGAGTGCAAAATTTCAGGCGATCCAAAGATGCCAATGATGCGGTCGATAATGGCCTGCGCGACAGTGACTG